CGGCGAAAAAAAAAAAAAAATTTTCTGAGCCCATTTTAGGGCTCCAACCAGGGTTTGGGAGGTTTAGGTACATGCCTAATCACATATGTAAGCTATATGCTCATAATTCAATTAGAAAAAAAAGACAGCAAATTCTCAACAAACACACATCCAAACTCGCGAACATTAAATCAACAAGCGCGTAACGCTAACCACTGCACATCACGCCAAGGCGGGGATGGTAAAATCATGAATGTATATACCGTATTTACTCGCGTAATACTCACACTTGCATAATTTTCGCACCTCCCCCCACATCGCTCATCAAAAATACGATTTCTTTTTTTCCTCGAGTAATTATCGCACCCCCGAAAACTGCCGCAATAATGTCTTCTACTCGTTCCAGCAACTGATGTTGATAGCGCACGCCATCTGGCGCCATCTCTTAAGCATCAAGAGTACTATTATTGCACAGAGATTTAATCCAATCCAAGCCAAGCCAAAATGGCAAGTGCGCGTTGCGGCTTGTTTTCTATGCTGTGTCGGTAATCTTGGCACGTTATAGGGTGGTACTGAAGCTACACGGTTGCTTCAAGCTGCAAGTGATAGATCATGCACTAAACGACGGCAACAGGGCCGCCAGTAGGCCCTTTGGAGTCTACGAGTTTTGTGTTCGCTACTGGTGACGGCAGCTGAAAGCCACTAAGACGCGCTCGGCCTGCCGTGCGCCTAAAACGGGGATTGATGGTAAACTTTATCTCTTCAGAAGGAAACTGCGGACAATTGTGTTAAATAGCCATTAGCCCAATACTGACGTCCTACGCTTACCTTTTGAGGACTTCTATTGAGCAACGAACGCTACCGCTACGCCCGCAATGCCCACAAGCTTTGCGTATGGTATTCCCATTCTCGACTACTTGCTTGCCCTTTTCGTGTCTCAAATAAATCTTGCCTTGTGTTGAACCTGTGCTTTTATTGTTGAGATAAGTTTTAATTAGTACTTCTCAAAGCTTACTGTTAGTTGCTGGTGTGAGAATCCCGATTTGCGGCCACTTCGTTTTCTTTTTCGCTCTGTTTTTGTGGGAAGTTTTTCCTGCGTAATCCTTGCACCCCCTAACTTTTCATCGGTTTTTCGCAAAAAAAAGTGCGAGGAGTATGCGAGTAAATACGGTAGACACCAATTAGTTGCTTCACGTTCTGGTGTGTTACTGTAGAGCAGTCATTATTATACGGCCAGGGTCCAAGACTTATACGCAAACATCATCACCGTGTTTTAGGTAGCCTCACCGCCGCAGCTCCCGGGCTATAGTAGTCGACTCACTAAGCCTATTCAATTTATTTCGAAGCAAAATATTCTATAGTGCTCTAGAAGAAACCTCTGACGCTCATAAGCCAGGTTGTCTTACTTTTTACTATTAGCTCGACACTTTTCTTGCAATAACTGCACAATGAAGTCGAATTGCGCTCAATATTGTGGCATCGTCGGCAATATATTTATGCAAACACACCCGTGCAGGTGCCGTGCACCGTGCACACACTGCAGCTGACTTCATTCGCAAAAAACTCTCATTGGTTCTAAACATTTCAAAGTGAATGTGTCCTTCCTCTCAAATGAAAGACACGGTTTCCACAAACTTCATATCTCCTTCAATCAAACGTGTGGCCCCCGTTAGTTTCGACAGTGAAAGCGAGAGGCTGGCGCTGTTTGTCTGCGACTTCTCTAGCCCCACAAAAAAATGTCGTTTACTTTAGATGCCACTCACGTGATAGACATGGCTTATGAATTGGGCTGGCGAATTTTTTTTCTTGCTCTTTTTTTTTTTTTTCTAGATCATAACGTTGTGCGGGGTCCATAAAGAAGCCGGCTGCCACCATTTGCAACCCGGCGGCTCGTCATTCACCGATCTTTGGCACATAAGATGCGTAGGCAGCTACAGACGTGCTGCTGAAATGAACTGGAATTTGCGTGTATCCTATGCAGGAACACGCATTTCCGAAGCCGCAGTGTCCTCGCATCACCCCCTTAATATCGAGAGAAGTACAGTCATCAGCAAGCTTGACACAATTGCTCCGACGCATGAGCTTGATTACTTCGACTGATTTCAGCCACGAAGCACTGAGCCCTGTTGCCGAGATAATAGAACGGTATGCTTGGATAGTATGTTGGCATGCATGAGTAAAATATCGGAAACAGATCCCAAAGCTACGTGATGCCAGTGCCAATCAAACTGCTTCAGGGCGCCCTGTGGAGCGTTCGTGTTAAGCTTGCTGACGGCTGTACATCTTTGCACGATTGCTAAGTACCGGCTCACACCGCACGTTCAATGAACCATACCAGCCTACAAACATCCGCCACTGATGTGAAACATGCCAAAACTGACCCGTTTCACGCAAAACAAGCAACCTCAGTGGCGGCAAGAACTTACTGTGGCGTCATCTGCCGGTATCGTTCTGTGGCGTACAAAATGACATCATGTGGTTGCCGGCTGCTGCAAAGTGTTCGACAACTCCTGTGATTCAGGCTATTCTTGCTTCGCAAGTGACGCTTGTGTTTGTATTAGCTGCAAAAACAACCTAGAATGTTTGCCGACAAAGGTTTTTAGCGAGTCAACGTATGGTCATCGCTGGGTCGTGAACTTTGGACGTAGCGCGTGGGCATGGCGCCATGGACGCACAACGTGAAAGGCGCTATGGTAAAAGGTGAGTTGTTATAAAAATCGTCCATAATCTGTCAATCGAAGCATTTTCACATTGTGCGAACATTTATGTTTACTGAGGCAAGCACAATGATGCGCACCTATCTCTTGCTTTTGTGCGGAGAGTGCGTGGCCGAAAGGTAACGTTTTGATCAGTGTGGACTGCCTGCTCCGTTCACAGCAGTACGTCATCCTAGCTTTCAGAGCAGTATCAAGTGGCCGGGAGAAGCGTCCCAGAGACTGAGAAAGCTGGTCAAGAAGAAGCATAAGGATGGGATGCATCTAGATTATGGCCCTGGAGCATTTTCATAAGAATTTATTAGTATTTTGTCAATAAAAGTATTTTGAAATGTTTTTCCTCGTTTTCTCAAAACAGCAATTTTGGCACCTTTGCCAACTTAGAGGAAAAATAACCTCTGTTCCATTCAACAGTATCAGCGTAACTTTTTGCCAGAAATATAAATGCATGCAATATGCAATATGCCTTTTTTTGGAGGTAATACAGTAAAAGCTCGTTAATTTGGATTTCACAGGACTGGAAAAACTGTCCGAATTAACTGAATGCTGAATTAACGAAAGAACAGGGAAAACAACATTTAAAATCAAGCTGCAGAAGCATACCTTTGTTTGTTTAAGTATTTTGTAATTGTCATCTGCATTTTTGAACAGATTCCAGCTGACATCACAATTTTTTTTAACTGTTCCAAATGACCAACAGCATGCAAGCTGTTGGGAGCGTTGAGGCAAGCGTTCTCCAATATTAACAGCGCCTCCGAGACTTCCCGTGAGGTGCGATGAGGTCGCGGCTGTATCTCCTCGCTTGATTCTTCGTCGGAATCGTGGTCTTCATGGGCGCCCGTGACATCATTAATAATCTCTTGATCGGTCAGGAGACCACTCGTGGCGACATCATGATCAATCACGATGTAGTCCTGAAAGGTCACATCTGTGGGAAGGACTGCATCGAAAGTCGGGCAGTCATCGTCAGGTGGACTCGGTCGGTGGACTCTGCCGCTTTTTCGGCGTTGCCATCACTGTAGCGCACGATGGTGGTGGCATGCAAATATGGTCACAATGGAAGAAAAAGAGAACTCCGCAAGAAGAGATGGTTCCGACACAACAACACAAGGGAAAATGGCGTCGGAGGCGCTGAGTGGAGAAGAAAGAAGACGCCGACGTTTGGTGACGCTGCTATCGCCCCCACTAGTTGATGATGATGACGATGCCACTCAGGTTTCGGTTTCACTTCAGTGGTGCCGGCGCTGCTTTATCACACTTTTGTGTAGCAGCAGCCGTCAGCATTTGTCCGAATTAAGCGGTGCAGAGCCGAATTTTGACGAAATAACGAAGGTTTGGTCCCATAGATTATCATGCACTTTGGCTTGGACCAATGGAGCTGTCCGAATTATGCGAATTTCCGAATTAACAGGGTGTCGAATTAATTAGCTTTTACTGTATACAAGTCAAAAATTTTTTTAAGTGGGTCACATGCGTGAAAGATGAAGGTGACTTTTTTTCTGTGAACATTTATGTCCTCTAATTCCTGTTGAAATTGGCCCAGCAAGTTCATTGATAGCATATTGAACCCCTTAAACATCTTACATTATTTCTACACTGTTGCCACTGTTTTGGTGCTTCCTGCTTAGATGCTAATTAGGTTCCAAACAAAGGACCCAGGTTATACATTGATTGTGGAGTATTTTGGAAACTGCTTTACCTATCAAAAAAGTAATTACATTTTCAGAATCTTCAGATCTGAATACACAAACTGTGCAAATTTCGTTCAGATCTATACATAAATTAAAAAGTTGCCCATCAAGTGTAGCCTTCCCTTTTAAAGGAGCCGACTCGCGTCAGTGGAGCTTCAATAAACATATGCCTGTGCCTGAAACATGGATTCGGTGATAATCTGAAGAAGTCGGGACCATTATTCTTAAGCGTTCCCGGCTGGTGCAAATTATCGAAGTTTCACCGTATTACTACATAATTAACAGTTAGTCATGTTATTACCACTACTTTGGCGTGGTGTAATCGCTGTGGTGGAAACCACAGCAATAGCAGCAATGAGACGAGTGCTAGCAAGCACCATGAATAAACGGAATTACAATGTGATCGAACTCCACTGGATGAGGATACAGCCACGTCTTTGATGTGGCCGACGCTCATTGTTGCTCAGTCGACAATGATAACCGGCTAGATTTTGCGGTTTACACTTTGAATCCACAATTATCGCGAAAGTTGCCATTTATGGGCAGCCTGGCGCAAAACGGCGCAATTGGTGCAGCACTTCCACCCCTGATGGCACGGTAGGTCGAGGAAACTCACTTTGAGTGCTTTGTCAGACCAGTATAGGCGTCCGTCATTGCCGTCATAGTCGAGGGCAGCCACTTCTCGCACGCCTGCCAGTGGAATCTGGTCAGTGCGGCGTGACTGGAGCGAGATACGTCTGATGTCGCTGTGCTGCGCGTACAGCAGGAATGCCTCGGCCACCGTGCAGCCGCGCAGGTCGGCCCGTAGCTCCAACCCCGTCGGGCAGGCACACACTCGGCCCCCATGAGGACGCTGCAGGCACAGGTGGGAGCAGCCCCCATTGGCATGGCTACAGTTGTTCTCGCCCGCACGTGCATGCACGCTCACTGCCTTGATTCCCATCAGGTCAGGCAGCTGGTCCAAGATCACCAGTCGCTCACCAGTGTGCTTGTGCAACCGCTCTATCGATCGGCCCTGCCAGTCAGTCCAGTAGATGTACTGCCCTGCACAAGCACATACCTGCCAAGTTCAAGGATTCTGAATCCGGAAGATTTGCGCAGCGCGAGGGGGGGGGGGGGGGGGCTGAATTATTTGCTTCTATTAAAAAAAGCGAAGGACAAACAAACAAACAAAGACATCGCGAAAAAAAGAAGGGGGTGGCGGTGGGGGTGTCTCAATCGCAAGCGCAAACATCAGCGTTGCGGTCGGCTTGAGGGGCCGAACACACGAAGGTGGGGTTTCCCACTAAGGTGAGGGTCTCAAAGGATCAACACAACTAGCAGAATTTATTTCCTTCAAAACAGCTCGTGTATGTCTTACTAGGACACACGTGACAGACCGGACGGCGCAGCTGGCTGCCGCAAAAGCACGAGTCAAAGCTTTGCTCCCTACTAGATTCTTTTGACTTTTCTTGTTCATTCAGTGTTCCTTGCGAGTGGCGACCTTGGTCTGCGGCCAGCAATGAATACTGGGACGTGGCACCAGTTCACCACCGCGTTTAAGGGGGGGATGTGGGGATTCTTTCCAACTTTTTTCGTTTTTTGGCCTAAGTTCATGAAATCGGGCATACACACTAAAATCACATTAAAAAGATAAATGCGCACTTTCATAAAAATGACTTTACTAGTTCTCAATTTAAATTCTCAAGTTCCTCGCTCGTGGAGAGTCTGGCACAGTGATTAAACTTGCTTAAGTGCTGGCACAACTTTGTATGTGTTTGTAGATATTGCTTGTAGCCGAAGCCAGTGCCAGATTTTTTTTTTGTACCCTTAAAGTCGTCTGCCGAACATTTTTGCATATGCATGTGCTTTATCAAGTCCAGCCTTTCAGTAATTGTGAAATTAGAAAAAAGAATGGAAGCCTAAAGTAATTACTTGAAGACTGCCTTCAATTATGACAGTCTATGAGTTACAAAAAACAAACAGAATAAAAATCGGTCCGGCCATAGCCGCACAATGCTTTCCACGAACAAGGTGGTTGGCAAAAAAAAAAAAAAACATCACAGAAAATGGCTTTTAAAGTATCACAAATGGTGCACCATTATTAAAATGCCCCGCAGTTTCTCGCCATGAGATCGAGCAGATTCGCCACCTGGTGGCAACTGGCCAAAAAAGCGAAGTGTGGGTTGCTCTGTGCGCCGTCTGCTAGCCATGTCGTGTTTCTATGTGAGCGTACGTGATGCAAGTTCTCAGGGTGTGGTTTGTCCGATCATGTCAGCACGAGTATAACTGTTTTTACGTATGCCTGAAACGATGTATAAAGCATTTGGTCTTGCTCGGCTGCTAATGCATCGTAATAAGATTGGCGAGTGCAACTTTCCAGAGAGCTGTTTATCGTCATCGTCCCTCCATTCACCAGAATAATTTCAGAGTGGGTGCCACTTTCTGTTTCAAGAACATCGCAAAATGCTCTTGGCATCCTCCCAAACATGAGGACTATTAAACACTGTGTGAATGCAGCATTTTATGGCGAACCGGTTCTAAAAAAAAAAAAAACAGGCTTTAGGCCATGCACTTGCGCGCTGTTGGTAGGTTTACAACTATAGCACTGTAGTTAATCGATTATGCTAGCAGCCTTAGTTGTGTTTATCTGGCCATGGTACCACTACATAGAAATATTACAGAAGGGGGGCGACAAAAGGTAAGCATTTGCCACGGGCGCAAAGCGCCGTTGGCGAAGTTCGAATGGACCCCAAACAAAGGGAGCCAACAGACGTAAAAGAAATGAACGCTTACCCCATGTCCTCCCGGAGCGCCGTGCGTGGAGTCTCTCAGGTTGTTTCTTGATGTTCTCCCAGAGAGGTTCTCTCCGGGACGACATCAAGAAACATCCAGAGAGACTCCACGCACGACGCCACAGTCGCGACATGCACTAATGAGTGAGAGGGGTTTAACGCCAGCTCCTGCTTCCCCAGCGCAGCAGACTGCGGAAGAGAGAAGAGTCATGTCGGGACATGAGAGCGGCAAAAAGAGGCGGCGAAGCCCACGCAAAGGCGGCGAGCTAGCCTCAATTCCCCCAAACTGCACTTAAAACAGTTTCCGGGCACAACCATGTGCTTATATTTAAGAACGCTTGAAAGAGCCAAGACATTGAAAATTAATTCAGACGGCATGCCTTATATATAATGTCATATGATTTACTGAACATTTCATCTTTTTACATTGTCTTCAGCGTTCGTGTGACATTGTTAGTGACCCATGGAAGGCAGTGGCCATTTTTTGTCTGAATAATGGATGGATGGAAAAACTTTATTTCGTCAGAAAGCAACTGAGGATGATTCCGTGTTAGATGGCCATCAACCCAAGGTTGGTGGCGACCTGTGTGACCCACTCCACGACCCTTAACTGGACGACTGGGTCTGAGCTGGTCAACACGGCCTCCCAGTGCTCAAGAGAGGGATCACGCATAATATCCACCGGCGGCGGCACTATGCTATATTCCCAAAGTATGTGATCACATGTTGCCACAGCCTGACACCATTTGCATTGCGGTTTAATCTTCTCCGGGTACATTTTGTTCAACACGTAAGGGTTGGGAAAAGATCGCGTCTGCAGTTTTCTCCAGACACATTCCTGCGCCTTAGTCAACCGCTTGTGCGGGGGCGGATAAAACCTCCGCTCTAGTTTATAATGATTCGTTATGTCATGAAAGGACATCAGCCCATCTCTCCCGAACCTCCCCGGAACTGGCAACTCACCTACCCGGTTGACGAAACCTCGAGCATTCAGGTGAGCCCCCTCGTTCCCAGGGTTCCCAGAATGTGCTGGTACCCAGACAATTTCTATTTCTATAATTTCTCGTCTCGTGGCCCCATGCAGGAATCGTGCGGCGGTCGCCGATATTCTGCCCCTCGCCAGATTTCGGATGGCTGTCTTTGAATCACTGAAAATCAAATCTGACTGCGAATCAGTTATAGCTAGCGCTATTGCCGCTTCCTCTGCAGTTTCTGAGGAGCGGGTTTTGACCGATCCAGAGGCGACCATGCGCCCCCGCCTGTCCACCAGCACAATCACAAAAGCGTCTTTGTCCTTATATTCCGCAACATCTGTATAGACTGCCGCTTCGTACTCGCCGTACTCAACGTGTAAAGCTCTGGCTCTTGCCTGCCTGCGCTGCGTATGGTGAATCGGATGCATATTTTTGGGCAAAGGTTTTATGTACAGGGCCTTATGTAACTCTCGCCGCACCTGAATTTTAGTGTCCCCAGTGGGAGCCTCTGCTCCAATGCCAATCCTTTCCAATATGATCCTGCCCGCTTTGGTTGTCGAAAGCCTAGCGTGCTGCATCACCAGATGCGCCTCCCATAATTCATCCAGGGTGCTGTGTACCCCTAGTTTTAACAGCCTTTCTGTAGGCGCGTTGTTAGGCAACCCAAGCGCTGCCCTGTAAGCTTGCCGGATCATAGCCTCGACCTTACCTTTTTCTGCGGCATCCAACTTCATATAAGGTGTCGCGTAAGTAATCCTGCTGAGCACAAACGCCTGTACCAGCTTACAGAGTTCTTTTTCTTTAACCCCGCTCTTACGGCTAGCGATTCTTCTGATTAGCCTGACAGTAGCATTGACCGTGGTCTTAAGTTTTTCAAGGGCCACCCTATTCTTCCTGTTAGTTTGCAGATATAGGCCAAGAATTCTAATCGTTTGAGCTTCAGCTACCGGCCTACCCCCTACCTTTACCTCTAACAGCGGTGGCGGAATATAGTGTCTTGCATGTAGCCCTCTGGGTTTGTCCCGAACCACAAAGAGCTCGGACTTGGGCTGAGAGCATGAAAGTCCCGCCTCCCCTGCCAACTCTTCGACAATATTAACTGCCTGTTGCAGTGTTTCTTCCAGATGCACGTCACTACCCCTGGTTAACCATAGAGTAATATCATCTGCATAAAATGTGTGTTTGAGTCCCGGTATCTCCTCCAGCCTCGGCGGTATTTTAATTAAGGCGATGTTAAACAGGAACGGTGACAAAACTGAACTCTGCGGCATCCCTTTGCCTCCCAACGGTAATGAGCCTGATTTGATATCTCCTATTGAAATTTCTGCGGTTCGGCCCTCCAAGAATGATCTGATGTAGCGAAATGTCCTGACCCCTGGGCCAATTTCCGATAGGTTATTCAATATCGCCTCATTGTCTCAATAAAAAAAAGCATGCTTGTCTCATCAATTAGGCCTTTGTTGTAGCACTGTGATGCACGTAATTCATGGATTCAAGCTTTCTGCTGAACTCTTACATAAATTTTTCATGTTCTTACTGGTGCAAGAACATGTGCACACACGAAGTAAAGGCAGTGTAGTGCAAAGCGCCATCAGGCACTAAGCTTTCTTGACTACACTTGCCGACTGTCCCACATTTCAGGGTGAACAGAATGTGAAAAAAAAAAATCATATGCGTATAAGGTGCCAACAATAGTACTGAACTAATTGCACAGATATGCAGGCTTTCTACAATCTTTCTTGCTCTCTTTTTTGTAGCATGCAGATGACAAAGATGTGAATAAGTAGTTCAGGTCACACTACAGTAGTGCGTAGCAGGCGGAACAGAAGCTAACCGCAAACAAACAACCCCGCAAAGGCGTGATTCAGTACGAAAGCGTGAAGAGCGTCACCCAGGGCGAACATCCCTAAGAAAGGCAGAATGCGCTTTACTCACGAATAATGTTAACATTGCATAGGCATCGTGTACCGATTCAGAAGAGAATAGCGTAGATATTTACAGTAAAGTGTGGTCAATTCATTTTATCCACCGACAATCGGTTCAGACTGCACACAACGAAGTGCCACTGTGTGTATTTGTATACATGCCACCAACCGCCTATCCACACTTTCATGAGAACAGTGCTGCCACCTATAGCTCAATCTCGTTGCAAATGGTCATTGGCATCACTGCTAAGAGGCATGTTTTTGGACCTCTGTTCCTTGGTTGCTTCACATTTACGTGCTTTTTTGAGACGCAGGCAGTCTTGAGTCTTCTGGAGAGCCACAGAACCAAGACACACATCCAATGTAACACA